TGTTTGATCATTTCAATTATGTCTGCTTGTGTTGCTCTCACATTGTTGTCAGTATAATGGAATTCTATGTGACTGTCATACAAGTGAGAGGTTTCCCTAGCTATAAATCCAAGTTTAACCCGTCATTTTCTACATAGGAAAAATACCTGCACCAAGTCAGGAATATAACAGTTGTTTTCCATTCATTTATTGTGTTAGAGCTTTTGATTTTGCCATTTTAGAAGAAGTTGACCATTTGAAATTCCCTTCAGAACTTTAATTTTGTTATTTTACTTTTTTCTTATTGGAATGTCCAGAATTGATGTTCCAGTTTATATATTTACAGAAATACTACTGTGATATTTGATCATTTCCATTTCTTATTGGAATGTCCGGAATTGATGTCTCAGTTCATACATATCATGAAATTACAGGTATGAATTATATTAAAACTATAAGTGGTTTTAAGGGAACATAATTAACAATTTACATACAGAAATTAAGCACTGAAGTGTAATGAAGTACAAATTAAGCTTGGAACATAGAATTTGACTTCAATGTGTGTTGTTTGGGGTGAAAGAAATAATGAAAAGTTAAGGCTTCAACAGTAGAACAATTTAATGCATCATATAAAACAAAGACAAACTCAAGATGATTTATAAACAAACTGTGTATTTTCTTTATTTATCTGGTCTACAGACTTGTGCCAAAAGTAACGATAATTCCAAGAAGGCTGCCACATACAGTTGTCAAGTACCTGGTCTGAGGACTCAGTTATCGTCCTTTGGTTTTCGTTGTCTACAAATATAGTCCCTAGTGTGAACAGTATATAACTTGCAAATTTTTTCATACACTTCCCAATTTATTTCTTGATATTTTATGCAAGAAATATGAAGTAAAGGGATGAAATTACATGCTTAAAAAACTTGGGTGCTGAATCTTTATGTTAAATAGTGATTTGGTCCAGTTAAAAAAGGTCAAAATTAGTATGTCTGAAGCTGTCAAACTGAATTTTTGACCACCTTAACATAGAATTGTCCATATTTTGAGTGAGAACTGGTAGACTTTTCTATAATTCTGATATCTTTTGTCCCAATAGTAGTACACGACACTGAAAAAATCTTTTTGAGATAGAGCAGGTGCAATTTGTATACGACTGCAAAAAATTTTGCGGTCGTATATTGGTATCACATCGTCGTCATCGTCGTCCGAAGACATTTGGTTTTCGTACAATAACTTTAGTATTAATAAATAGAAATCTATGAAATTTAAACACAAGGTTTATGACCACAAAAGGAAGGTCGGGATTGATTTTGGGGGTCATGGTCCCAACAGTTTAGAAATTAGGGGCCAAAAAGGGGCCCAAATAAGCATTTTTCTAGTTTCCAGACAATAACTTGTGGAATGGTGTATGGATCTCTTATGAAATTATACCACAAGTTTCCATACAACAAAGGGATAGTAAGAATTGGCTTTGGGGGGTTATGGCTCAAACCGTTTATGAATTAGGGGCAAAAAAGGGGGAAAACAAGGGTGTCCTGGTTAATTGACAATTACTTAAGTACAAAACATAATTTAAAAGCAGTGTAAGGGAGGTAATTCAACACCTTTTGAATTTTAAACATTTTTCATTACCTCCCTTACACTGCTTTTAAATTATGTATAAAGAGATGTTCTATTGTCTTGAGGTGATAAGCTGTCAATTTATTTTTTTTATGTATGTCATTTTCTATTTTAAGACTTTTATGATGTATTTAAATGGGTTATTATGGTTGCAAACTCCATTGGAAATTTGAATTGAGATTATGACCATATCTTGAGGGAAAGAATTTTTTTTTGGAAAAGGGGGGGGGGGAGGTTAAAAAATTGGGGGGGGGGGGACAATTTGTTCTCAAGATTTCAGAAATTAGAAAGAAAATTTCTTCAAATATTATTTTTTTATTTTGCCAAAAAAAAAGGGGGGGAGGGGCAAAAAAAAAAATTTTTTTGGGGGGGAGAGTTGGTCAATTTGCAACAGCATAGTGTATTGCACAAAATCAAAAAAATGAATATAAATTCAAATCACATAACCAATTCAAGTTCTTTGACTACAGTTATTCTGTGTCAGAAACCTATTATGTGTCAAATATTTAATTATAATCCAAATTCAGACCTGTATCAAGTGTGAATATTGTGTCCATTTTTGCCCCAACTGTTCAGGGTTGGACCTTTGTGGTCGTATCCAGCTGCGCTCGGCGAAGCAATTTATTTCAATTTGAATTTGTTGTCTAAAAGAAATGCACTATGAAATAACTGTGTTCTCGGGCCACCTGTCACTTTCCAACCTTTGTAATTTTACTAATAAAATGATATGAACTCACCTAATGTTTTGTGATGCTTCCTTTTGCCCTTATTACTTGCCTCAAACGTCTTGCGATCGATTCATAAAGTTTTCTTATAGATTCTAAGGGTATAGTTGTCCATATGCTACATATTGCGGTGATATTATGTGCCTGTTTTTAAAGTTCAAGTTTAATTTTACGCCACATATTCTCAATAATATAAGGTTTGGACTTTGTGCTGGCCATTCCATACCATGAATGTGATTTTGTTCCATATAAACTTTCACAGAATTGGCTCTATGAACCGGGGCATTGTCGTCTTGGTATATGTAATTGTCTCCGACAATGACAGTTCCTCACGTTTAGGGGCCATTCTCAAAACTATACGAAATGTAAACAAAGCAGACGATTCCAAACTTCTGGTGAGGTATTAGGTCAATGACTGACCTCATAACTTTCATATTGTGCAAAAAGAGAGACAACTCCAACTTATTTACAGAGAAAAAAGTTTTTGAAGTTGTCACTTCCAACCCGCAATTGACATACCTAACATTACATTATCTTCACTTTTGGCACTGTAGTGTATGTTTAACTTTCTACTTTCACTTTTTATAAAAATATACATATATCTGGTTTTCAAGATGTTCTAAAGATTTTAAAACCCAAATAAGATATGTGGAATGGAAACAAACTCAAACAATAAGTCTTCCTGTCACGTGGTAAAAAAATTGTACAATACAATAATCTCATTTTTTCCTCAGCCTTTTATTAAAAGAAGAGAATGGTTTTACCAGAATATATCTGATGATTAAAATCAAAGTGAAGTGTTACATATCCCAGCTACTGACCAGGACATTCTCATTATAAATAGAGGTATAGGGTATTCTTTTAATAACTTGTAAAAAAAAAAATTGTATTAACCTTTTCTGGTTTTCCTAAATTTTCTGATATAAACTGATACATAGCTAAATATTGTAATGTTGATTTTAAATCAAAGTTTGATTAATAAATTAAGTAAAATATCTTTTTATTCAAATGCCTGATCAATAGGATTGCAGTAGAATTGCATATTTAAGATGATTGTCAAAATGATAAATGAAGATGTGGTTTGAGTGCCAATGAGACAACACTCCATCCAAGTCAAAATTTATAAAAAGAAAACAATTATAGGTTTAAGTACAGCCTTCAACACAGAGCCTTGGCTCACACCAAACAGCAAGTTATAAAGGGCCCCAAAATAACTTGCGTAAAACAATTGAAATAGGAAAAAATAATCTATATAAAATACGAGAAAGAAGAAACACTTTGAACCACAGCAACAAACAACAACCTCTGAACAACAGGCTTTGGACTCAAAAACAACATAACAATCTACAATGTTTTATTAGGTTTCTCTGTATCTGAACATGATAATTGTTAAAAGAAGTGTGTGCTCATTACTGAAAATTAAGATTATAACCATTTCCTTTATGTGGATTTTGAAATAGTGTATATCAAATTTATTGTTGAGCCTTTTACTTTTGAAATTTTAATGACTTTCTTAAACTAACCTGCAGTTAAAGTTTTTAAAACATTTATTAGATTCATAAACTATCCTGGATTTTTACCAAACTTGGACAGAAGCTTCTTACAATCAAAAGATAGTATCGAGAGGAATATTTAAATTTTTTTCCTCATTTTTGTTGAGCCCGAGACTAACAGCAAAGTAGGCGAGACGCAGGTTTCCCTGGAACCCTTACAAATTTTTGGAGAATGAATTTTATTTCAAGTGCTTCTATTTAGCCTAATGAAAAACCAGAACATAAACATGCATTTATTGTATTTATTATTGCTATTTTTGGACAATGGAATGAAATGTGAGATTTATTAATGATGCATACAAATAATTTTATTAGAATTTAAGTTATTATTTTTGCTAAACCTATCTTTTTACAATTTTTGCAATAATAAAAATTGTCCAAAAATTTCTGAATGAACGAAACTAAAGGATGAGGAAATGCATGTTTCTTATACAAAATTTATTGAAATAAATGAAAGTAAGAATTGTGAATAAAACATAATAATCACATGGTCCCAGGGTTTCCTTTTTTTTATGAACAGAAAGAATATTTGATAGTAGCTGTGAGAGGGTGCTTAAAGAAAATCCTGATAAATTGAAGAAAGGACTAGCATTAAAGTTTGATGGTGAAGAGGGCATGGTATTTATATTATTTGCACTATTTGTAATCCATCTTGAGTGCTTCTCTTTTAAATATTTTGTAGATATTAAATTTGTTTATAAATATTTACATCAGATGAGTAATCATGCTTATGGTAACTTTTAAAATTACAAACATATATTCTTGTTCAATGTTAAATCTTAAATCTTTAAATGTCATACATATATTCAATGTTTTCAAGAAATTCAGTCTTATGTGTGCTATTTTTTATGCCCCATCTAGGGGCATTATGTTTTTGGTTTTTGCGTCTGTTCGTTAGTTTGTTCATCCATCCGTCTGTTCGTCCGTCTGTCCCACTTTAGTTTTAAGTTTTTGGTAGAGATAGTTTTTGATGAAGTCGAAGTCCAATCAACTTGAAACTTAGTACACATGTTCCCTATGATATGAGCTTTCTAATTTAATGCCAAGTTAGAGTTTTGACCCCTATTTCACGGTCCTTTGAACATAGAAAATGATAGTGTGAGGGAGGCATTCGTGTACTATGGACACATTCTTGTTTGACATAAAGAAAATGAATGAAGAAGAAAATCTGAACATTAATTCAATTCCTCGTAAATTGTTTCCCACATAGATCCAAAATCAAGAAGGCAAGGTATTTGTTATGGATTAGACTTGAACATTTTCTCTCTTCTTCTTCTCCCAAGAAAGGAACCAAATTCATTTATGAATGTGAATGCTCTCCTGTACTCTTTCTTTTTTTCTTTGACCGTAACAGGGCCTAATCTATTTGGAGAGGGAAAAATTACTTCTCCTTTCAGGAGACACTAGGGAATAATGGAATTCTATTATCAGTAGTTGTGTCGAGTTCATGTGTTTATCTGTCATGTTTACATTAATGAAAGTGTTTTCTATGCACAAAAAAATGTGAGATTGAACATATTTTACTTGATTAATTGTAGAGACAGGGAGTAATGAGAGAATGGTTTGATGTTTTATCTAAAGAAATCCTAAATCCAGATTATGCCTTGTTTACCCAGTCAGCAGATGTTATGTAAAATATGTCAGATGTTGGAAGTTGTAGGTAGAAGGTTTGAAAAAAAAAAGATTGAAATAACACTTTATATATTTGAAATGTCCAAAGATCTTTTTTATATGACCACAAAATTTTTTTTGGTTTTTTATAATGCTATGATGTCATCGTCTGCGTTGTCGTCCAAAGACACATTTGGTCTCCGGACAATAACTTTAGTTTAAGTGAATGGATCTCTCTGAAATTTTACAAGAAGGTTCAATACCACAATAGGAGGGTTGGGATTGATTTTGAGGTTATGGTACCAACAGTTTAGGAATAAGGAGGCAAAAAGGGGCCAAAAATCAGGATTTTTTTTAGTTTCTGGACAATAACTTGTGTGTAAGTGTATGGATCTCTCTGACATTGTACCACAAAGTTCCACATCACAAAGGGAAGGCTGTGATTGAATTTTTGGGGTAATTGTCCCAAACATGCAGGAATCAGGGGCAAAAAAGGGCCAAAAACAAGAATTTTTCTAGTTTCCAGACAATAACTTGTGTTTAAGTGTATGGATCTCTTTAAATTGTACTATAAGGTTCCATTCTACAAAGGAAGGCTGTGATTGAGTTTGGGGGTACCCGATAGTTGCTCCAATGGGGAGGGTTCAAAAAGTTTATGGGGGGGGATTTTTTTCCAATTTATTTAAGTGGTTCATATTTTTTTTTTTTTCAAAATTTTTCAAATTTCAAATTTTTTGTAAAGTTTCAAGAAGAAGTCTTCAAATACAAAGTATTGTGCAATAGATTTTTAAGATATTTGACCACATTTATTTTGTGTCAGAAACCTATATTATGTCAAAAATTTGATAACAATCCAAATTAAGACAGTATCAAACTTGAATATTGTGCCAGATTTGCCCCAACTGTTCAGGGAGACAATAAATTTTGAAGTTCACAGAAATATCAAATGTCAGATCTATAAATCTAATGTTGCAAAAGAAGCACAAGAATTTCAAAGATGGAACCATTTTTAACACCAAACCTTCTGTCGCCAAATTTGGATCTTGGTATAGAAATACATTTCCCAAGTTTTATTGGGAGACAAAAATGTTAGAATTGGACTAGTGTACACTTGAAAAGGAACATTGGTGGGACCAGGAATATTTTTTTTTATCTAAACGATACTCTATGAATAATAATGGTTTATTATAATAACTGGCAACATATATTATGTACGTCTTAGACTTTATTCAAGATGTACTTTTTGGCACAAAATTACATTCTCATCCTATTATTGCAAGATTATCTTTTTAAGGAGTACATTTTTACCCTTTTATGGGAATATATCTTTTTAGGGAGTACATTCCAGCCAAACAGTAACTCTGCCATAAATCCAGACCATCTTAACTACTTTAGATTTGCAGGACAAATCGTAGGACTTTGTCTCTATCACAAGCAGCTAATCAATGTTTACTTTACCAGATCATTTTATAAACATATCCTAGGTAAGTTTGATTAAATGCAAGTAAATACTCATCACAGAGGGTGGTAAAGGGTTATTTTCGTGCAACGTGTTTTGCCATTTTTATTTCACGTGCAGCCGTGAAAAAGGTTCGTTATTCACCGTGTTTCGTGAAATAGGTAAAAAGTTCAATGTGCAAGAAATTTTTAATTGTTCGTTCATCGTGAAATGGCAATTTTATTTCGCATTCGTCTGTGCAGATACCCCCCCCCCCCCTTTACGCCCCTCAACACAGATATCAGACTTATAATTTTGAATGCCAGAAAATGCTACATAAGATTCATCAGTCAAGCTCGAATGAAAATAGTTGGAAGACCAAAACAAGGTACAAAGTTGTAGTGCTTTAAAAATCAAAATTTCTGTAAAGTTGTTCCAAATACAGTTTGGTATAGAATACTTTTTATTGCTTAATTTGCTTTTTAAATAGAGGGGGATATTCAAACTCATAAGTCAAAAACAAACTGACAATGCCATGGCAAAAAAAAAAAACAATGAAAAGACAAACAACAGTACATTTAAAAAAACAAAACATAGAAAACTAAAGATTGAGCAACACACCCCCCCCCCCCCCTCCCCTAAAAAACCAGGGATTGATCTCAGGTGCTCCAAAAGAGTAAGTAGGTTTTGGTCCACAAGCGACGCCCATGGTGTTACTCATAAAGAATTTGATACCTTATATCTAGTGATTACGCATCATGCAAAGCAAGCATCCTAAGTTCACATACCATTGAATATGTTTTGCACTGTCTAATTTGATATAACAATAGATTGAAACTCTATAAATATATATATATATATATATACTCAGGATATCTGACTATTAAAGACAGAATATTTTAATAGCATTCAAAAGAGAAAAGAAATGATTACATATATATAATATGACCTTTAATTTGAAAGTATCCCAGTGAATTATACAGATGTGGCATCTATTGATCCCGACTACGCTAAAAATCTGCAGGTAATTACGTCTTATTCATTTATATCTTCTTACCCTTTGACCCCTCAAGAATGTGCTATAATTTACACATACCATATTTTATTTCTTGCAAAATTTGCTAATAAAAAAGTATAACAGTAAAGAGTGAACAGTATGGGAATTTTGTTTTTTGTCTTGCAAAGTTTAATACACTTATCAAAAGAATAAGTGAAAAAATGATTCAGTCTCTATAATGTTTAAATTTTGAAATTCCATTCTATATTTATTCCACTCAGCAAATCTGGTTTTAAATATAATTTTGCCCTTATTTTAGCTTATGAACCACGATATACTTGCACTATAAATTCTATGAGAATACAGAAGACTACAATAATTTTACTATTTTATTTATAAAGTGAAACAAATGTACATACTATGGTTGAATATTCCTTATGTAATAATGGATAACTTCTATATTGGTTTCAAAACACTCATATTTTCAGGATAAATCTGTTATTAAAAATATGACCATCTAAAATACTTCTAATCTTGACTTTGTTATCTACAGGTCCAAGGACACAGTTATCGTCCTTAGGTTTTCGTTGTCTACAAATATAGTCCCTAGTGTGAACAGTGTATAACTTGCATTATTTTATACACTTTTCCAATTTATTTCTTAGATATTTTATGCATGAAATATTAAGTAAGGGGATGCAATTACATGTTAAAAAAAATTTGAGTGCTGAATCTTTATGTTAAGTAGTGATTTGGTCCAGTTAAAAGAGGTCAAATTTTTGAGTTAGAGCTGGTAGAAGTTTCTATAATTTTGATATTATTTGTATCAATAGTCGTACACTACACTGTAAAAATCTTTTTGAGATAGAGCAGGTGCGATTTTTTTAATTTGAATTTATTGTCTAAAAGAAATGCACTACGAAATAACTGTGTTCTCGGGCCTACAGTGATTAATTATTTCTATATATACTAGAGTTACTCCCCTTGGAACACACAATATTTTGATACTTGTTTATTTTTAATTTTAGTGAGATTGTTTAAATGTTATCCTTTGTTGTATCCATGCTATTATTGACTTATGTTTATAATTGAGCTTTCTTTAATAAAATGTTTCGTATTTTGTATTTCTTTTTCATTTCGTTAAGGAAGACAATTGTGGTGAAAAATGCCCATCCATTTCATGTGTACACGCATAACCTTTACAAATTATATGCATTCAGATGAGTTCTTTTTTTAAACCTTAGTTTGTTTTCAACAACAAAAATCGGCATCAATAGATTAAGAGTTGATTTTTATAGGGTAAACTTTTTAAAGGTGTTTTAAAATAAGGCACACAATTGTTTTGAAATGGCATTTGTTACATTCAACTGAGATTTTCAAATAGCAGTGTAATTTCCTGGAGCAGGTAAAGGTTGTTGACTTTTGACCAAAGATGACTTTATATTACAGTGGATACTTGACCATGACATTGACAATTTAGGATTGGACCTAACATTTTCTGTTGAGACTGATGTGTTTGGTGTGATGCAGGAAGTAGAATTAAAACCTGGAGGAAGTCATATAACAGTGACAGAAGAAAATAAGGTATGATAGAGATAAAACTAAAACCGGGAGGAAGTCATATTACAGTGACAGAAGAAAATAAGGTATGATAGAGATAAAACTAAAACCGGGAGTAAGTCATATTACAGTGACAGAAGAAAATAAGGTATGGTAGAGATAAAACTAAAACCGGGAGGAAGTCATATGTTTTTGGGTATATACCAGATTGAAAATTAAATGTGGAGAGGTAGTAGGGTATTATAGATTTACAATGAAACTTAGTCATTGATATTTTACTATGCGTTTATGTAATAATTAAAGTATGACTATATATGTGAAAGGACTGTTGTACAAGATAAAGAATTAAAACATTGAGGCAAGTCAAATCACTTTTATTTGGAATGATACAGATTGATATACATGAAAAAGGAGTAGGTCCAGTAAGACCCCTTTTTGGCCCCAAAATATAGCAGTTTTACAATATTGTTAAAATGTAAACTTTTAGCTTTTTATTGGAAAATAGAATACTTATGTTACATAAATATGGGCTGTTTTTGACAATACAATGCACATGTATCGGGTACTAGCATCATTAAGTCATGCTCAATTACTGAAATCTTCACAATTTTAGCATTTGAGTTAAATTTTAGACGGTTTCCGTCTTAAATGGAAGTGGCCGCATTTGTGTTTATTCTTAATATTTAAATGTAAGTTGTATTTGATGATAATACATAACATATATAAAGGTTGAGAGTGAACACTGATGCGGCCACTTTCATTTTTGACAAAAACCATCTGAAAAGTGACATATTACGGCATATTTGATAGATTTTTCATATTTAAGCTTGAATTTGAGAGTCTTTAATGACCAAATCAGTTCAAATCTTTCACATACACTTATTGAATCGACTGAAGTAGACACTAAAGTGTTTAAAAAGTGTTCAAAATCTTTCATCAGATGAACCAAAGGTTTGAGGCCAAAATTGGCCCTTTCCTTTAGCAGTATTCAGTTTGACTGATTAAATTGATTGAGTGAAAAGTATCTTTGAAAGGATTATAAGTGCATTCATATTGAAACTTTGAAGTAATTCAAACCCTTTAAACGAGAATAATAAGGTATGACTCACTTAAATTAAAATAAGAGGTTGTCATATCACTGTGACTGCATATGTTAAGGTATAACTGAAAATAACCTGCTAGAACTTGTAAGAGCTATGGAATTATATAAATGCATGTAGTGATTCACTGCATAGGTTGCATATTTCTGCATATAATTTCATTATACCCCCGCTTTAAAAAAGGGGGGTATACTGTTTTACCTCTGTCTGTTCATTCGTCAGTCCATCAATCCATCCCTCCGTCAGTCCATCTGTCAGTCCATCTGTCAGTCCATCCGTCCCATCAATATTTTCGTTGCATTTTGTTCAGGAACTACTTGACAAGGATTTCTGAAATTTGGTTTCAGGGTTTATATAAGTCAGTTATACCGTGTGATGCGTTTTCAGATTCATCACTCAACAACTTTCTGTTTACCGAACACTTGTATCATTTTACACATGATAGCCAAGTTGAAAATTTTCGTCACAATTTTCTCAGGAACTACAAGACAAGGATTTCTGAAATTTAGTTTCAGGGTTTATATAAGTCAGCTATACCGTGTGATGCGTTTTCAAATTCATCACTCAACAACTTCCTGTTTACCGAAATATTTCGGCAGGGGTATCACCAGTGAGCAGTAGCTCGCAGTTTTACTTGTTTGCAATGCTTATGACTGCATTTTTGGTAAAACAATTAGTTTAATTGCCCTATCTGCCATGTAACTTATGATGAAGATATCAGTTAGTTAATTTACACTTGTTAATTAATCTTTTCTTTCAAAGAAATTTATCATATTTGAAAAGAAACACTTACAGACAAAAGCACAAACAAGTAGGTAGAGAGTTTTATGCAGAACATGATTGATGCCATTAATATTTGTTTAGTACACTTTGTTTCAGAAATTCAAATGATAAACAGGTTCTAAATTTAACATCATCAATACAGAATTATTATGTTTAATTACAGACAGAGTATGCTCAGTTAGTAACAGAATTAAGAATGACAAGAGCTATACAGCCACAGATAAATAGCTTTCTATCTGGTTTCCACCAAAACATTCCACAATCACTGATACAGATGTTTGATGAGTATGAATTGGTTAGTATCAGTTATTACAGAAAAAGGCCAATGACATACATGTTTTCAACACTGAGTTCCAATTGCCATGAAATTCTATTTGAAAAAAAAATATAGTCATGAGTTTTACAACACAGCGATTATGTTTTATTTATTATGACTTGCAAGACAGATGTAGATTTAAAGATTCAGTTATTTACTCGCAGCCAATTTAACTAGGAAAATATTTAATGCAATAAATTATTTACCCTTTTAACTTTTAAAGGGAGATAATTAGTGCAAACTTTTAATTAATTTAATACATTTCAGTAAATAAATCATTGTAACAGAGGTACTCTGATTTTCTGTATGTCACACAAGAGATGTACTTTATAATTTTTAATATTGCTTAACAAAAATAATATAAATGAGTTTGGTTTCAATTGCAACGAAATTCTATTTTGAAAAATATGATTTACTGTATTTATGTACTATTTTAGGAGTTGATGCTGTCAGGTATTCCAGAGATAGATATTAGTGACTGGGAGAAACATACAGAATACAATGGCTATGATAGACAATCTCCTGTTATCCAGGTTAGTGTGAAATAATCAGGTGCTCTTTGGAAAGTTAGCTAGTAGATATAAGAAGATGTGGTATGAGTGCCAATGAGACAACTCTCCATCCAAGTCAAAATTTCTGATAGGTGCAAACAATTGCAGCGGGTTTAAACTTTATAATGGTACCAAACCTTCACTCTTATCTGAAACAATAGTGAGATATCACAACATAAATAGACGCACTATAAAATATCAATTGAAATGACTTAACTCAATCAAAAGACATATTAAAACAAGCGAACATACATTGAACAAATAAATTTGTTAACACATTTTGTATATTAAATGGAAGTAGTTCACTGAAGTAGTTCACTGAAAAACTTGAAGAATTATAGGAATAACAAATGGATTATTGCACCCATATCAAAATAAAAAAATATGGTAGTAAGATTAAATATTTAATATATTGAGTATCAAAAATATTATACAATTTAGCACTATTCATTCATGTATACAGTTTTCAACACCACTTATTATATATGGTTCTAAAGTTTGCCAAGGAAATTCAGTTGACTTTTTTTATCTGAGCGTCACTGATGAGTCTTATGTAGAGGAAACGCGCGTCTGGCGTATAAAATTATAAGCCTGGTACCTTTGGTAACTATGGACCCAAATTTTGTTTTTACAACCTTGTCTTTTTATGGTTATGGGGTTAAATGGTACAATGTCCTTATTCTTTCACTGATATTAAAAAAAAGATTGTCAAGGTAAACAGACAAAATATCTATTTTTAGCTATAGACAATTGATGTGATGTAAATGATATTTTTTTTCTTTATATAAATAACAGATGTGTATAAATTCTAATTTTTGAATAAATATTTCATACTTTTAGTGGTTTTGGGAAATTGTTGAAGATTTCAGTCAAGAAAACAGAGTATTGCTGCTTCAGTTTACTACTGGCAGGTAATGTAGATAAAAAAATGATAAATTTATTGTTTTCAATGCACAATCATGAATTAAAAATTGTTAGGTCACAAATTCATCATTTTTGAATAAGTGAATTAGTCATTCTATAACACATACAAGTGATATGTGATACCCATTATATCTTAAAGTTATTGACAAATGAAATGTAAATCAATATCTTAACCTAGAACTCATATTTGATTTACATGGTTTTATTCTCGAACTCTTAGACTATGTACTTTTAGCTCTAGTAATTATATAGATGATGAAATCCATTTCTTCTTTCATTGCAAAAGAAGTCAATATAAAAGAAACAATTATGTCTCAGAAATTGTCTCTCCAAATACTGAATTTTTAATTTCACTTACAAAAAAAAAAGCTACAGTATTTGCTAAATCCAACCAGTTTTCAACCGGTACAAAGTCAAGGTTCCCTTTTAAAACAGTCAATGGAGATGAGAAGAGGCTTGATTTACTGACTGTTGTTTATATGTTTTATGAAATTGTATTTTGTTTATCACAAGCAATTCTTTGTAGGATTAAGACAATAAAGATAAATATTGATTGTTATTTTCAAATACAGTTCCAGAGTACCTTTTGGAGGTTTTGCTAAGTTTGTTGGTGGAGGAGGTCCACAACATTTTACCATAAATATAGTTCCTTATAAAGAACATACATTACCTACAGCTAGTACTTGGTAAGTTTGTAGGTGGAGGAGGTCCACAATATTTTACCATAGCTATAGTTCCTTATAAAGAACATACATTACCTACAGCTAGTACTTGGTAAGTTTGTTGGTGGAGGAGGTCCACAACATTTTACCATAGCTATAGTTCCTTATAAAGAACATACATTACCTACAGCTAGTACTTGGTAAGTTTGTAGGTAGAGGAGGTCCACAACATTTTACCATAGCTATAGTTCCTTATAAAGAACATACATTACCTACAGCTAGTACTTGGTAAGTTTGTAGGTGGAGGAGGTCCACAAGACTTTGCCATAGCTATAGTCCATTATAAAGAACACACTTTACCTACAGCTAGTACTTGGTAAGTTTGTTGGTGGAGGAGGGCCACAACACTTTACCATAGCTATAGTTCCTTATAAAGAACATACATTACCTACAGCCAGTACTTGGTAGGTTTGTAGGTGGAGAAGGTCCACAACACTTTACTATAGCTATAGTCCCTTATAAAGAACATGCATTACCTACAGCCAGTACTTGGTAAGTTTGTTGGTGGAGGAGGGCCACAACACTTTACCATAGCTATAGTACCTTATAAAGAACATACATTACCTACAGCTAGTACTTGGTAAGTTTGTAGGTGGAGGAGGTCCACAACATTTTACCATAACTACAGTTCCTTATAAAGAACATACATTACCTACAGCCAGTACTTGGTAAGTTTGTTGGTGGAGGAGGTCCACAACATTTTACCATAACTATAGTTCCTTATAAAGAACATACATTACCTACACCCAGTACTTGGTAAGTTTGTTGGTTAGTGGAGGTCCACAACATTTTTAAAAAAATTAAAGAACATAATTGATATTTTATAGTGTGTCTTTCTATGTTGTGATATTACACTATTGTTTCAGATAAGGGTGAAGGTTTGGTTCCATTAAAACGTTTAAACCTGCTGCAATTGTTTGCACCTGTCATTAGTCAGGAATCTGATGTTCAGTAGTTGTCATTCGTTGATGTGGTTCATAAGTGTTTCTCGCTTCTCGTGTTTTATATATAATAGGCCGTTGGTTTTCCCGTTTGAATGGTTTTACACTAGTAATTTTGGGGGCCCTTTATAGCTTACTGTTTGGTGTGAGCCAAGGCTCCGTGTTGAAGACCGTACTTTGACCTATAATGGTTTACTTTTATAAATTTTGACTTGGATGGAGAGTTGTCTCATTGGCACTCATGCCACATCTTCTTATTTCTATATACATTACCTACAGCCAGTACTTGGTAAGTTGGTTGGTGCAGGAGGTCCACAACATTTTACCATAGCTATAGTTCCTTATAAAAAACAGGCATTACCTACAGCCAGTACTTGGTAAGTTTGTAGGTAGAGGAGGTCCACAACACTTTACCATAGCTATAGTCCCTTATTAAGAACATGCATTACCTACAGCTAGTACTTGGTAAGTTTGTAGATGGAGGAGGCCCACAACATTTTACCATAGCTATAGTTCCTTATAAAGAACATACATTACCTACAGCCAGTACTGGGTAGGTTTGTAGGTAGAGGAGGTCCACAACATTTTACCATAACTATAGTTCCTTATAAAGAACATACATTACCTACACCCAGTACTTGGTAGGTTTGTTGGTTAGAGGAGGTCGACAACATTTTACCATAGCTATAGTTCCTTATAAAGAACATACATTACCTACAGCCAGTACTTGGTAATGTTGTTGGTGGAGGAGGTCCACAACATTTTTACCATAGCTATAGTTTCTTATAAAGAACATACATTACCTACAGCCAGTACTTGGTAAGTTTGTTGGTGGAGGAGGTCCACAACATTTTACCATAGCTATAGTTCCTTATAAAAAACAGGCATTACCTACAGCCAGTACTTGGTAAGTTTGTAGGTAGAGGAGGTCCACAACACTTTACCATAGCTATAGTCCCTTATTAAGAACATGCATTACCTACAGCTAGTACTTGGTAAGTTTGTAGATGGAGGAGGCCCACAACATTTTACCATAGCTATAGTTCCTTATAAAGAACATACATTACCTACAGCCAGTACTGGGTAGGTTTGTAGGTAGAGGAGGTCCACAACATTTTACCATAACTATAGTTCCTTATAAAGAACATACATTACCTACACCCAGTACTTGGTAGGTTTGTTGGTTAGAGGAGGTCGACAACATTTTACCATAGCTATAGTTCCTTATAAAGAACATACATTACCTACAGCCAGTACTTGGTAATGTTGTTGGTGGAGGAGGTCCACAACATTTTTACCATAGCTATAGTTTCTTATAAAGAACATACATTACCTACAGCCAGTACTTGGTAAGTTTGTTGGTGGAGGAGGTCCACAACATTTTACCATAGCTATAGTTCCTTATAAAGAACATACATTACCTACAGCCAGTACTTGGTAAGTTTGTTGGTGGAGGAGGTCCACAACATTTTACCATAGCTATAGTTCCTTTTAAAGAACATACATTACCTACACCCAGTACTTGGTAAGTTTGTTGGTGGAGGAGGTCCACAATATTTTACCATAGCTATAGTTCCTTATAAAGAACATACATTACCTACAGCCAGTACTTGGTAAGTTTGTTGGTGGAGGAGGTCCACAACATTTTACCATAATTATAGTTCCTTATAAAGAACATACATTACCTTCAGCCAGTACTTGGTAAGTTTGTAGGTGGAGGAGGTCCACAACATTTTACCATAGCTATAGTTCCTTATAAAGAACATACATTACCTACAGCCAGTACTTGGTAAGTTTGTTGGTGGAGGAGGTCCACAACATTTTACCATAACTATAGTTTCTTATAAAGAACATGCATTACCTACACCCAGTACTTGGTAAGTTTGTTGGTGGAGGAGGTCCACAACATTTTACCATAGCTACAGTTCCTTATAAAGAACATACATTACCTACAGCCAGTACTTGGTAAGTTTGTTGGTGGAGGAGGTCCACAACATTTTACTATAACTATAGTTTCTTACAAAGAACATGCATTACCTACACCCAGTACTTGGTAAGTTTGTTGGTGGAGGAGGTCCACAACATTTTACCATAGCTACAGTTCCTTATAAAGAACATACATTACCTACACCCAGTACTTGGTAAGTTTGTTGGTGGAGGAGGTCCACAACATTTTACCATAGCTATAGTTCCTTATAAAGAACATACATTACCTACAGCCAGTACTTTGTAAGTTTGTAGATGGAGGAGGGCCACAACATTTTACCATAACTATAGTTCCTTATAAAGAACATATATTACCTACAGCCAGTAATTGGTAAGTTTGTAGATGGAGGAGGTCCACAACATTTTACCATAGATATAGTTCCTTATAAAGAACATACATTACCTACACCCAGTACTTGGTAAGTTTGTTGGTGGAGGAGGTCCACAACATTTTACCATAACTATAGTTCCTTATAAAGAACATACATTACCTACAGCTAGTACTTGGTAAGTTTGTAGATGGAGGAGGGCCACAACATTTTACCATAACTATAGTTCCTTATAAAGAACATACATTACCTACAGCTAGTACTTGGTTAGTTTGTAGATGGAGGAGGGCCACAACATTTTACCATAACTATAGTTCCTTATAAAGAATATACATTACCTACAGCCAGTAATTGGTAAGTTTGTAGATGGAGGAGATCCACAACATTTTACCATAGCTATAGTTCCATATAAAGAACATACTTTACCTACAGCTAGTACTTGGTAAGAAATTACACTCCTCTTTTGTACATATAAATGAGGTGTTGTATGATTGCCAATGAGACAACTATCCACCAAAGTTCAAATGAAGTTGATGTCAGCAATTATAGGAATAGTACAACCTTCAAAAATGAGTAAAACCCTTGATGTATAGTCTCCTATAAAGGCCTGAAAAATGTAAAACAATTAAATTAAGAAAACTATTGGTTTTATAACCAAACAATTTGCTCCTAAATTTGAACAGGCACATGAAGAAAATTGAGGGGAGGGTAAAAAAGTTTGTGAGCACTCAACACTCCTCCTAACTCAGGATAGCAGTGTTACAAAACAACATTGTTAGTTTTAACTCAAAAGATAGGTATCAGGCACAAACATAACTAAAATTAAAAAATAGACACATAGCACTGAAATAAGGGTACTCACAGTTACTGAAATCTTTGTTCAAAGCCAATTACAACTTATGAATAAATCATATCCTCCTAGGCAAAGTATCAATCATTACACATCTAACAGATTTAGATTAAAAACATCACAAACAGTTTGAGAAACACATGAAGCATAGACAGCTTCATATTTATTTGTTCTGGGTAGCCAAGGTCATAGACACTCTTAGATTCATCGGGGGAAAAAAATTCAACTAATATAGCATAATGATGTGATTTTAAAGCATTAATATGTGGCGTTGCATGGCATCCTTCAGATAAATTTCTTTCACACACATTTATCTGATATCTTTAACTAATATGTGATAAGTAAATACACAACTGCATTGCATAAGAGAAAATCTGTTTTGATTTTGTAGTATCAACATGGTCAAGATGCCAGAATATAAATCAAAGACAGAATTGCACAACAGACTGATGGTTGCCTTACAGTGTGGTAACCAAGGTTATGCTTTTGCATGAACAGGAAGTGCAATTAATTTTTGGATTGGCAGTAAAAACAAGTTCTAGACGGAATTTGCTTGTGGAAGAATATGAATAAATAGTACATAATGATCAAAAAACAAATTTAGAGAATATATAAATGCTATGAAATAGCATATTTAGTAAACAAATAGTAATGAAATCTTTCACAGTAACCTTCCCATATATCCCTTCTCTACTGTAGAATATATGATATACTGTAAAACAAAAGGAATAGGCCTTATCTGAAAAAAAATGATCTGCTAGTGTTCTATATAAAATGTATTGTTACTTCATATGTTTTGAAAAGGTGATACAGAAACTCTTAAAAAATTACAGTTCAAATGTATTTCTGTTCTAAAAGCATG